ACGATGATCCACATCGGCCCTAGCCAGCCCCAGATCGGGGCAGCCATGTGCCCAGCACACTCAGGGAGGTCTCTGGATGTGAATCCGGAACCATCCCATTTGGATCAGCTTTGGAGATGTTTCACTGCTGTGCCACTGTGCAGCTCCTGAGTTTGACTGTTTTGACAAGAATACTTTACGTCATACTGTATCATAATGAGAACAGTAGTTGACCCACTTAGTGCTTCCAAGATTGATTCAAGTAGTGAGAGTCTAATTTCTCCTTTTACAAAAGTTCCCATCACCCTTTCATATAATGGATTGAACCATGGATGAGTGGTACCTAAAGCAATTTATTTACTAGGGTTTGTAAAATGGTGATTTCCTAATTATTCCTTCCACACTTACTAGCTAGAATTACCTATAAAGAAGAATTTTCCCTCATCAGTTAGGGCAGTTAGGGCTATTTGTTGGTTAATTTGAAAAACAGTTTTTACAGGATGTTATGAATTTTTAGAATAAGATGCTAATGTTCTACTTTTTTCTAATCGCCCAGATTAGAACCAATGAGATGAAATTTTGTTTGGTTTTGCTTTCTTTTATTTTTGAGAATAATTATCAACTTGTTTCTACAAGGAGTATCATCTCATGCAAGAGTCATAAATAAAAGGATGATGTCAGTGTAGCAAGGAAATGACCTTGATTCATTGGTGATTTTTCCTAGGGGATAATATATTCCTATCTCAACAAGTAGCACCAGGTGAATGCAAAATACACTAATACAGTCACATACTGAAATGACCAGTAGATGGCACTCTCTCACTGTACTCGCTCACTTTTCTGAATTCTGGTTCAGTTCAAGTCTTAGAGGTGCTTATTCTGTACTACTTCATCTTTGTACTTTTTGCCCTTGCTTTCATGGTAAGCCTCAACTCCAGCATTCTCCACTACTCCTTACCCTCTTCGATCCAATGATTTTACTTTGTTATTGTTATAGACTAGACCTATTGTGATATTTCTTTAGTACATAGGAATTCAATATATCTCTTTTAATGTAATGTTAATAGAATTGTTTTTCTTTATGTTATATTGATAGTTACAAAGTTGAGTAAGCTTTGAGTTGTCAGCTCCTAACTCTAGAATCCCCATAAGGTCAGTTATTTTTGGTGTGACAAGTAATCCTAAGGGTCCATGACATGAAGAATTTTGACTTTAATAAGCTAGAGGTAAGTTTGAGATTGAGTCTAGCAAAAGTTGTAGCATAAGCACTACAGCAAACCTTTGTTATTTTCCACTTACTGGTTTTTATTTAAAGATCTTGTGAATAGTATATTGAAGAGATACAGCAGTGTTTCCTCAGTTTTTTTTTAAGATTAGCACAACTACAAATATTTTGAGAGGCTCCCAATGTTATGCTAACCACACTACCGTGAATAAGTATGAAATAAAGTTGTTGTTCCCAATGGCTTATAATAAAAGTGTAAGAACCAAGAGATAAATTATTAAAATAATTGATTATTAAATTGTAATGTCTCATTACATTACAGTGTAATACAAGTTGTATCATTGTGGACAGAAGTGGTCTGGAGGGACCAGCAGTTAGCAAAATGACTATGTCACTGGACTCCCATGCAGTCAACTGCGGTTCAAGTCCTGGACCCGGTGACTTAAACTCATGCTGGGCACGTGTGCATGTGTGCCCAAGATCCCGAGAGGAGAATAGAGGAGAAGGGATTGCGACGTGGCCATCCTCCCCTGGGGGGGGGGGATTTCTCGCTTTTTGTCTCTCTGTCTCTCTGTCTTTCTGGCAAGCGCACACACCCTTATGGCAAAAACCTCTCCAAAGGGGGAAAAACAAAAAAGAAGTGGTCCGGAGATCGTCATGGAGGAAGTAGAAAATTAAATGGAGAAATGGATAGAATTTAGATCTTTGAAAATTGGGATAATATTTTAAGTATATAAGTAGAGGATACTATTTTCAGTATACAAGTAGAGCTTTTAATTTTTAAAAAATATTTTTCCTTAATAAGGTAGCCTTGCAACTTACTCTCTCAATAGCTCTATTATAGCATTAAGAAGTATTGCAAACTATCTCAGGGTAAGGTTAAAGGGAGTTATATCTAGCTTAAAATCCATATAAAGAAGTCCTTTCTTTGATCATTACAGTCATCAAGGTTGAATTATGTTATTTTAGAGGGCTAAATTCCTGAATAATTTCTATTGAGTATCTAAAGAAAAAATAACTAGCAATTTAGAGTATATCACAGGAATGTTCTTAAAATTAGCTGCAGTAATTATTGCTACCATCTTAGTAATTTGCTTTTAGTATGCCTTTGTAGAATTATTATCTTAATGAGAGAATGATAAATTGGCATATATCACAGATAAATAACTCATAATATATATTACATACAGAACGATTCAGCTTTCAGATCAACTTCAGCATTGGTTAGAGTTTCAAAGTTAAATGTTGAATGTCACATGTTTTACCCCCAAAGGGAATGCCAAGTCACAGTCCCTTCTCCTTTACCCTCCTCTTGGGATTTGGGGCACATACGCACCTGGTGTGTTTTATAAACCACCAAGTACTCAAATCACACAGTCAGCTATGTGGGATCCAGCTGCCCTAAGTGTGAAGCCACTGGGTGGCCCAGGCAAACCCATTTTTTAAGACTGGTCAAATATGAAAAAATATCATTTTGTTAATATCAGTTAGATTGCCTTTGAATAGGTCTTGATATCAACTAGGTATTTTGCTTATTTTAAGGAGATAGAATTCTTTGACTTAAAACACCACAGTCAACTCTTGAGCACAAATAGGATTCGTCAGGATATCAGCAACTCACAGAATGGACAGAAGGACTGGAGAAACAGGTCTGGAGAGATAGGTTGAGTTGCTCCACAGGGCTGGAATAGGAACTGGGGAAGTCTCTTCACTGGCACATTCTATTCAGGGCCTCACTGCTAGAGTGAATAAACTGCTTCGTCTATTACTAAATAGACTTCTAGTCAAGATTCAGAATCCTGTGATGGGGTTTTCAGTCTAACTTAATTCATTTGCCTGGCTTATACTGTACTGTAGTGGTGAAAGGGCCTCTTTACACAAGGATTCCCCCAGGAGCCCTGCGTCATTAGTGGCAGTGCAAGTGCTTAGATTTAATGTTTTCACTTTCCTCATAAATGATGGAAAGTAAATGTTACATAGGTGAAAACTACTCCATATGCTGAACTCTTTTATCTCTTGTTTCAGAGGATCAGGGAGTTGCTATTGATGGAAAAACAGTATCTTCAGGATTTTTAAAGACAAAAGTCTAAAGATAGTACCCGAATCTGTCATTAGGAAAAAATTACCCATGGACAACTGTTGTATAAAAACTTTGATGAAACTTTAGTTGTTTTATACATTTTATGAAAGGTAAACTTTTCACTTTCCAGAAAGAATGTATTCTAAATTAAAGATGGTTTATATATCATTAAATGAGTTCTACCAGTGTCATTTCCTCATAGATATGTATTTGCTTTTCTCACATTGTGTTCTAAATATCTCCTGTGAGCCAGTTATGACGATGAAGTCGAGTTACTCATTGATACTCACTAAAGGGCCATGAGAGAGGAAATATGTGAAGGAGGAAAATCTGCTAAGAGAACTCCAAATAATAGTAGTTTTATAATCAAAACTCTGGCTATTTTTGCTTTATTTTTCCATTAATACTAAAACTTTTCTCAGCACTCTTTGTAACACTTTGCTATTTTCACTAAAAAACAATGTTAAAGTAAGATTAAAGGACTTTTTAAAAAATCTCACTTCTTTTCCAGTGAAATGAAATTGTTATAACTAGCTTAAAAGAGTATCTTAATGGGCTACATCCTCACTGACTTTTGCCTGTTTCACTTTAGTATTCCATTCCTAGTCAGAATTTAGTGTTTACATCACATACCTTCTTTTATGGCTGTAGCATATTTTTAAATGCACAAAGATCCCCTGTAAAATCAGATATATTCATTGTTGTTAGAGACATATACATGTGATTATTACCTAAGGATCATGGGCAATAGACAGAGGTGGTATGTAGGTTGATTTTCTTTAGTGCAGCACTGTGCTCTGACACCCACAATAGACCAGTATCCATGGGCCTTAGTGGCAGGCAGGTATACTAAAGTCATGGACTCATTTGAGGATGCAGGTTGCCTACATGGTATTTTAATACATTTTCGAGGTAGAGTAAGACCTTTGGTTTTAAGTTATTTTAATCATCAATTCAAATATTGAATTAGTCATGTGATAATGATCAGTTGGTTCATAAAGTTAACATTTTGGCAAAAACCTAATTCTTTTGCAAGTTGTTATTCACAAGTGGTAGCTCTACAAAAATTCAAAGAAAACTATGAATTGTTCTAATGGCTTCATTCTCAAATTAAAACATTTCCAGTGAATTATACTATTCAATGCAATTGTCATTGATTTAATCATTTTCATGAAGATTTATTAGTAGTCACTGTTGTCAAAAATAGTTATGGGAAGTTCAGAGATTTTTTATTTTATATTTTTCTTCACTCAGTTTTATTTTTTATTTATTTTAATTGTTTTTTGTTTAGTTGAGTTATATTACTTGTATAGATTGCATTTTGAGTTTTTAATCTGGAAAATTAGAGACATAAAATATTTATGTTTTAACTGGAGTCTGATGACCTATATCTTTAATATATTACCCAATTATTTTTAGTTCAGATGTAAAATGCTGCTTGGGTCCTTTAGTTTTTTAAAAAATAATCTCTTTGGAAAAGTAGGAAGTCTGAATTTCACATGTAGTGATTTGTTGTACCCAGCAGAGAAAGAATGAAAAGAACATATTCTAAGAAATAAAACAGAGTCTTAGCCAGCCTTATTGTAGTTCTGTTCGCAATATATTAACATACCATTTTTAAAAGATGAATTTTGGGGACCTAAGGTGATACCATTAGGTTCCTCTGCCATTGTAAAACAGTGAAGACAAAAGCACTCACCATCTTAATATTCACAGGACTGTGCTAAAGAATAATGATTTAAGATCAAGACAAGAGTTAACTGCCCACCTCACCAACCAGTGGCCTTCCCCAGGAGCTCTGGATGTCAATGCTGTTGCCTTGGATACGTTGCTTTACCGAAAACACAATAAACAGTGGTATGAGTAAGTGTAATACTTTTTTTTCCAACTAATTACAAATTCAGGTGTACCCAGGCTATCCACTTTGGTCTCTCAGTTATTCTTCTTTCTGAAGTTATTAGATTAGAGCCAGAGGAGGAGTCAGGACTACTTTGGTAATGTTGGATTAACTACTTTGTTAATGTCTTGAATCCAAGGCACCCTGGGGAAGTTAAATAGCTGGGAAATAAATTCTTATGCAATTATGGACCAACCTCTCCTTCAATCGAATCTTTAGCCAAATTTCAGTTAAACATATAAACTTGTGTTTGATGAGCTACCTTTATTTTGAATTTTAGCTTTGGTATTAATTTTGCCATAGGACTAATATTTCTGCTTGTCAGAAAATACAGAATCCCATCTCCTGTGAGGATGGAAAGATATTTTCATGTTCTTAGTAGATCTGAAAGAGTTCTGTTCATTTCCAATAAATCTAATTTTTAGAAACTACAGAAGATATCATCATTCCACCTATGAGGCACAAGATCCTTTTCTTATTACTTTGTTGTAATGTTTCAGGATCATTTTGTTTATTTGCAATATCCTCATGTTGAGAGAACTGCAAAATCTTTGGCTATCTTCTTTTAGGTAGTCTTCACTTTGAAACTTATAAATTGTATGATCTTCTTTTGGCTCTTAGCCTCTTTACCATCTTAATCTTTTTTCCCTCACTGTTTTTGTTTGTTTGTTTGTTTTTGTCTCTAGCTCATTTCTGTTTTCTCTGATGTCTCTTCCTCCTATTTGCTTCTGCTTTCCACTCTTCATTTTTTCTCTCTCTCTTCCCTTTTCTGTTTCTTTCTATACTCTTCTTTCTTAGTCCTTGTTTTTAAATTTCACTGGTAAAACAACACACCTCTACTGTGCTACTTAGACTAAGTATCATTTAAAAAAAAAAAAAAAGAATTATTTTTACTATTGGGAAGTTAAATAGCTGGGAAATAAATTCTTATGCAATTATGGACCAACCTCTCCTTCAATCGAATCTTTAGCCAAATTTCAGTTAAACATATAAACTTGTGTTTGATGAGCTACCTTTATTTTGAATTTTAGCTTTGGTATTAATTTTGCCATAGGACTAATATTTCTGCTTGTCAGAAAATACAGAATCCCATCTCCTGTGAGGATGGAAAGATATTTTCATGTTCTTAGTAGATCTGAAAGAGTTCTGTTCATTTCCAATAAATCTAATTTTTAGAAACTACAGAAGATATCATCATTCCACCTATGAGGCACAAGATCCTTTTCTTATTACTTTGTTTTAATGTTTCAGGATCATTTTGTTTATTTGCAATATCCTCATGTTGAGAGAACTGCAAAATCTTTGGCTATCTTCTTTTAGGTAGTCTTCACTTTGAAACTTATAAATTGTATGATCTTCTTTTGGCTCTTAGCCTCTTTTCCATCTTAATCTTTTTTCCCTCACTGTTTTTGTTTGTTTGTTTGTTTTTGTCTCTAGCTCATTTCTGTTTTCTCTGATGTCTCTTCCTCCTATTTGCTTCTGCTTTCCACTCTTCATTTTTTCTCTCTCTCTTCCCTTTTCTGTTTCTTTCTATACTCTTCTTTCTTAGTCCTTGTTTTTAAATTTCACTGGTAAAACAACACACCTCTACTGTGCTACTTAGACTAAGTATCATTTAAAAAAAAAAAAAAGAATTATTTTTACTATTTAAATTTATTTATTTATTTATTTTCATTTGACCAGAGAGAGAGAGAGAGAAAGTGAAAAAGCAAGCCCCTATTTGAACCGTGACAGGCTATGTGGGAGTCTAGTGCCCCTAAGCACCGCACCACCTGCTGGCTCCAAGACCAAGTGTCTTTAACTAGGTCATCAATAGCCAGACATTTCTATAAGGAATGTTTTAGCAAAGGCATAACTTCCACTGGCTTTATTCTGTGATTTTTTTTTTCATTTGCTTATAGAAGGTAGAATTCAGACTAAATTTGGACTTTTTCTATTTAAAAAATTGTAGCAACTTTAATAATGCTTGCTTTTTCTTGTTTCATTGATTGTTAAGAGATAAGTAAGAAAAAGTGAGATTACTTACAGAATAATCAGTAGAACTCTAACATCTTCTTATTCATGCTTGTTAGTATGACTCAAGATGTTGACTTTGGATATTTGATAGATTAGGATCTGGTTCTCTTATATATCCTAATAAAAGTTGTGAATAACTAGAGTGAATTTATAATGCTAGTATATCATTTTAACTTTCTGTGGCATATTAAATTAACAGAATGTTATATTTCTAATTTAGCATTGAATAATTGATTTTATAGCAATACTTGGTACCCTTACTTTGTCTACGTACATATATTTCTAGTTTACCTCTACATATATAATTTTGGCTGGTTTTTATGAAGTATTATAGCAGTCACAAAACTAATTGCAGTCTTAGAAAAGAAGGCAAGAAAACTGCCTGATTATCTGTTTAGCACAGATCCAGATTTTATACTTCATGACTCAATTACTCACTTAGCTTAACAAAAGACATCTGTTCCTTCCAACATCATCCTTTAATCGGGCCTGTCCTCAGATGTTGTCATTGTTTTAGAGGATCCTACTTCCAAACTGGTATCCTTAATCAAAAAAGATTGTGGCTCAGGTATAGTCCAGAGTTCAAAGGTCTTGAAGCTTAAAGCACTCTCTGCTACTTACTTGCTGTGTAACATTGAGAAACACTTCCTCTCCTTAACTTTTTCTTTCTGTGCATGTAAAACTGGGGATAATACCTGTCAAACAGAATTATAATGATCAAATGAGGTAATAAATTGCTTGGTACTTAACAGCTCAAGTGAATCATTATTTATATACTCTATGTAATCTTTTTCTTTTTTCTACTCTAATATAACCCTGTGTCTTCCATATTTGGAGAGTGTACGCCCACATAATGCCCCATAATCTACAATACTTTCTGAACTATATGTAAAATTAAAATGATGGTTAATTCCCATTGTTCTGAATAAATAGTCCTGACTTTCTCCTGTAAAAATGAAGGCTTTGGATTTCCCGAATAGTTGAGGTCTCTATAAATTTTGTTTGAAACTAGTCATAGATTTTCATCAGGATCCATTATTGCTTTCCTCAAATTTATAATATAAGCCAGAGTTTTTCAACTACTTGATCACTAATTCCTTTTAATTTGGCCAGCATCTTAAATAAATTCAACAGACATTTATTGAAAACTTATAAATTATGGAGGATGTGACCAATTTTTTTTTAACAAGGAACATTAGCTTTCTTGATAAATTGGAGAAAGTGATTCTATAATTACAATTTTTTGCTTTCTTTAGTTTTGCTTTAAGGTGAGTGCGCTCACCCAAGAGAGAACAAGACAAGAAATCACCTCCCATGTGGATGGCCACAGTACAATCCCTTCTTCTCTGTTCTTTCAGAATTTGGGGTATACACACACACACACACACACACACACACACACACACACACACTGTGATTTTCAAGCTGCCAGTCTATGACTCAAACTGTATAGTCATTCATGCGGAATCCACCCACTTTAACCTCCCTGTCACCTATAGGCCCTATATTTAGTTACAGTTTTAATGCTATTAGATGATTTTTTCTACCAAGGATATAGGATATCCATAGCTCTTTCTTTAGGAGTACTGTAATGTCATTTTATCAGGCTAACTTGACAACTTTGAGAAGAGACAAAAGAAAGACTTCAGACAAATTAAATTTAATAGGGTTTATTTGAACAAAGACTAATTAATGAACTGGGTAACATTCAGTACCAGAAGAGGTTTAGAAAGCTCCACCCAACAGTGGAAGCAACAAGCTACTTACCTAACAGGAATTAAAGAGAAATCATCTGACTGGCTACAGCTGAACATTGGGCATTATGTGATGAGTTGGCTGCTTGTGATTGGCTGAATCCTACTTTTCGTTACACAAAAGGATACTCCTGAATTAGGTTTTGGTTTGTTTAGGTACTAAGTTAGGTTGCGGTTTATTATATGAATTCAAAGGAGACAATATTAGAATAGTGGCCTCTTGCTATTTGATAAGTGTGTGCTGTTTGATTTAATGAATTTGTTGGCCTTGTTTATATTTCTTAAATTGAGCAATCAGGTAATTTGGTTATGTTTTCAGGTACTCATGGAAGAATTCCTGTCACAATAAATAGAGCTTAAATTTTTTCCATAACTTTATTGTTTATAAAACTTAAAAAAAATCTTTAAAAAAATATATTTCTAATTTTTTTTTTTTTTTGATTACTTAGAACCGGCAAGGTGGTCATTCTGTTTTTCCCTTTATTTAAAACATGGGAGTGTTGTGTTAAAAAACTGTCAAAGCATTGCAGGCTTATTGTAAAAACTCAATAATAATCAAGTATATAAAACTTGTTCCCTTAACATACATATAGAATAATTGTTCACTTTTTTGTTTCCAATAAGTAATGTTTTAATATCTTTTTTACATATGAAGTCTAGGTCACTTGAGTTTGTTAGATAATCCCATTAGATTACTTGTTTTGTTGTTCTTGTTTTTTTAATTCCCTCCCTCCCTCCCTCTTCCTTTCTTTCATTAAAGAGAGCATTAGAGGGACCAGCAGTTAGTGTAATGGCTATGTCTCTGGACTCCCATGTAGTCGACCGCGGTTTGCGTCCCAGACCTGGTGGCTTAAAACTCACACTGGGTGCATGTGTGTGTGTGCCCAAGATCCTGAGAGGAGAATGGAGGAGAAGGGACTGCGGCGTGGCCATTCCCCCTGGGGGGTGATTTCTCACTTTCTGTCTGTCTCTTTGTCTGTCTGGTGAGCGCACATGCCCTATCGCAAAAACCTCTCCCCCAAAAAAGAGAGCATTAGAGAAAGACAGAGTCAGAGACAGGAGTCCCTAACAATGTCTTTTTATGCCATGATTCTCCCCCAACTCCCAGCTTCAAGTCAGTCAGGACCATGGGTGTGCCATGGGCACAATAATAGCATGTTCAGGTCAACACAGATGATCTATATCATGATCTTCTT